GAGTATGGTTGAGGATTGTTCTGGTGAGGAGCATGGAATCGGTTTTGGTATGGTTTGTAAGAAGGATTGAAAGGACGTTTGTACTTCATTGAGAGTAGAGCGAACTCCTGTTGGAAACGGAGTTCAGAGTCCATGGCTTCAGAATCATCAATAGGATAGACTTGTGTGGGTAAGATGGGTGCGGATGTTTGAACAGATGGAACAATGGGTTTGAAGGGATCCGAGGTAGATGAGTTCGGAATGGTTGATTCGAAAGAACTGACAAGGGTAAGAGGACCTCCGGAGAGTTCCCTTATGGTTTGAGCAACATTGGACTCATGCCCTTGAAGTTCATCAAAGAGTTGATAGAGCTTCAACTTTTTCAAAGAACCATTGCTTTGGAGACAAGATTTTACATTTCCCCATCCTTTGCCGAGACTGTTTATGAATTTGAGGTTGTACTCAAAAGGAGTTCGGACAATCCCATGAGCAGCCATGTTGTTGACCACGATTCGGTAACGGTTGGAAGCAGATGCCATTGATTCACCAGGAGAGGTAGTGAAGGTGTCAAAGTCGTTGACAACTGAGGTGAGGCGCTTGTCTTTCATATTTTCCGAACCTTCAATCAGATCCTGAAGAGTATCCCAAATCTCTTTGGCTTATTTGCACAACTTGATGTGCTCGAAGAGTGAGGGAGGAACACCAAACACCATTTCTGAGAAAACAACTTGGTCAGCATGCAGCTTCTCGATATCATCTGCAGTTAGAGGAGCTGGGCGATTTTCATCTTTACGCATGAGCTGGGCAGCTGCATCTCTTACAACTGTTCTTACAGGAACATGTGGACCTTCTTTGACGGATCTCCAGATTTCTTCACCTTTATCTTTGGCAAGTAAAAATCTTTCCATTCTAACTTTCCAGTGATCATATTCTTCCACAACTAGTAATGGGGCACGTGTAGGGCCACCCACACTATTTGCGATTTGCATTGAAATCATTTGCTGAGGATTAGAAGCAGCCATTGAAGTTAAGATATCTTCAAGCTAAAGTGGTATATAGAAGAACTTTTATCCTTATCACAGAAATGGTTGAAACACCAAGGTTATTTCAAACCAACTGTAATCTGATCTTATGGATTTAAAGGACAACCACTCAAGCTCTGATACCAATTGTGAGGACAAGATCGATCTGATGCGCAGGGACAAGGTTTGAAAACTCAAACCTTGAGTGAATGCTTAAGATCAATGTCTGCTTGCTAATAAGTGTTCAAGTCAAGCCTAGAAAGATCAGTCAAGTCTTAGATAATATATTCAACAAAGGATCAAGTCATTAAATGAAGAATGAGAGTAAATGATCAAGGTAAAGTTAATAAATGAAGAACAAGAAGAATGTTTGAAAGAAGTTTGAAATAACTTAGTAAAGTGCCAAAAGTTGAATGAAAGATTCGTAATTGACTTGTATTGAATGCTCCTATAAATAGGAGTGAAGGTTACAGTGAATTAACTAGAGTGCTTACATAGGACTGGACAATAGAAATGTTTCTGACATTCTGATTGTCTAAATACAACAAAAGACTAAGTCCTATGAAACGTTACATCAATACAAAGACAAAATTCATAAATGCACAATAGACAAAATAGTGTAACTCCGGATCAGCATACATTCCGGACATGAGAGTCATTCCGGAACGCCTTCAGCATCGCGTCTTCTTCTCTACTGGTCCGGACAGATTCCGGACCACTCTTCACTTCGGAACATACACACTTTGGAATGAGTACTTAGGAGCTTGGACTTAGGATTGCTAGAGGTTCACTTTCAGGTTCCAACAGAGATTATGGAGGAAAGGAGCTCGATGACAGTAGATGAAAGTGGCTTCCGATGAGGGGACGAGTGAGTCGGAGGGAGGTGCAGACAAGAAAATAGAAAAAATAAATGAATGGTTTAAATTTGTTCTCAATTGTTCTCATTGTAAAAAATGTTCTTATTTGAACATAACTCTCTCTCTCTCTCTCTCTCTCTCTCTATATATATATATATATATATATATATATATATATATATATATATATATATAATATGAAAATTATAGAAATCGGGTTAACGCGACGGCCAACCGATGGACTGGGTGTTTGTCATCATCGATTTAACTGAAAACCAAACTTTTAAAACATTGCTTTATCTGATTTTTTTAGACATAAACCCATTTCTTTTTTTCTACTTTTTTTGTTTGTTTGTTTTTTTTAAATAGTATTAGCCAAAAATTCATTGTTCTTCAGAATTCGGTTTACTAATTTTATACTTCTATTCCAATGTTAAAATAGGTTTAGAAAATTTGTCCTTTTTTTCGTATTTTTCTCCATGTTTTCTTTATAACATTTTTTATATATTATATTTTATATATTTTTAACACAATTTGGTTTAAGAAACTCTTCAAACATTTATTTAATAAATTTCCCCAATGTTTTATAAGTTTTTATTTTTTTTATTTTAAAAGCTTCATATTTTTAACGATTTTTTTATATCTTTTAATGATTTTTTTATAATTTTTTACTTACTTTTTTTTTTTGCCACAAATAGATATTTATAACGTTTTAACATGTTTTATTTTTGTGCATATAAATTTAAGCTTTTTTGTTTTTAGAAGTTCTATTAGATTTTGTGTTTTGAAAATCCTACATACAAAAATTTGTAGTATCCAATTTCGAAACTAATTATACCGTTGTAATTTTTTTTTTAAGGTTTTCGCTACAACACACGGATATGCAACACTAGTTTGACAATATTTTAGACTAAATTGAAAATTTTTGATCTGTTTTCTTTTGAATTATTTTTTTGTTAATTTACCTATTAATTAGATCATCATTAGTGAAATGCAATATGAAACGATTTATTTTTGTAGTACTCTCCACAAAGGCTCTTGGTTCTTCAGGTGGCATCCACCACGAAGGTGAACACCACCCCGGTGGTCTGTCATGGGTCGTGTTCGTGGTTGAATGTGGTGGGGAGCATGGACCACAAACCCATGAGCTTTTTTCTACTCTCTTCTTTTCCTGCAAATTTGTTCGTGGTCATGATATATACACCAAAGCTCGTGTGAAAGAAGATGATGATTAGGTGGATAGAGATGAAGGCTAAAGTGGTTTATGGTTCGTGAGCGGTACTCCGAACGACCTAAGTTGAAATTAGTACATTATGCTTTTTTTTTAATTATTTTTTTTTATATTTTTTTATATTTTTATTATTTTTATTTTTACATTTATTAAGGGTTTATTGTTATGCTTCGAGGATTGTAAGCTTTTTTTATTTATCCGGAATGTAAACATAAACGTTTTATTGGGGTGAAAATTTGATTTATGTGTTTCCAAAGGTTATAGTTGGTATCGAGATATTTAAGTGATTTAAGTATTTAAGTACTTCCAAATCTTTACGTTACGCAAAACAGAAACATCGTTAATTACATTTCTTACATATAATAACATCATAGTTACAATTAGGGGTGAGCATGGTGCGGTTCGGTGCGGTTTTTGCCCAAAACCGAACCGAAAACCGCAACTTCGGTTTTTTGAAGTTTAGAAACCGCACTGCTCAGTTTTTGCGGGTTTTTTGCGGTTCGGTTTTTTCTTTGCGGTTTTTTGTCAGTTTTTTTATTTGGTTTTTGTTTTGCCTTTTTACTAAAACTCAGGTAACTCAACGAGTTACTTTGACTCGGATGAGAAGTGTTAATCATTTTTTGAGAAATTTTATGTAGAGATGAGGAGCGCCAAAATTTTCATCCCCAACAATGTGCGACTCCTCAAAGATGTGGGTTAAAAGCCATCGACTTGACTCAATTATATGAAATGTGAGAATGGTGAAAGTTTTATATCAAATGCGATGAGGGATACTCTTATAAGGCTGACAAAATTAAAGCCCAAATAATATCTTGGAGATGAACCGATACCACCACCTCTTGATTTGAAATCAAATAACATAACCATTCATCCAACATGCTTCTAATGCTTGAATATAATACAAATTAAATATAATATTTGTTTCACAGATACGTACGATAATATCAATTATTGTATTTATAAAAATGATACTATCATCACTAGTATTCTTAATATTAAAATGTTTAAAAAATATATAATAAACGTTATTTGTTCTTGTAAATATCACTATATGTATGCTTAAAAATATACAATCATCATTCGTTAAGATAGATATTTATATTTATAGAAATTTTAATTGTCATTGGTTATTTGTTCTTACAAATATCAACACTTAATATATATATATATAATATATATATATATATATATATATATATATATATATATATATATATATATATATATATATTATAATTATATTCGGTGCGGTTCGGTTTTTTACGGTTTTTGCAAGACTAGAAACCGCACCGCACCGAACATTTTCGGTTTTTGCAAAACTAAAAACTGCACCGTCGGTTTTCATTTCGGTTTCGGTTTATGCGGTTTTTTCGGTTTGCGGTTTGGTTTTTGCTCACCCCTAGTTACAATATAGACAATGAATTTTTTAATAACATAGGCTTTTTAACAATCAACCTAAAATTGATGAGCAATAATTTCATGATGAAAAATCATGAATCTTTAAATTTAACATCGGTTAGTTTTGTTTTTACCAAATATCTATTAAAATAAATTTTCACATGTTATATATATAGGGTCCAATTTTTACTTCCATAAAACCAAACTTTGTGTTCAAGACCCATGGGAATTGAAAGACCATGCTAACCCACATGCAAATGGACCTACTAAGAATCCTTCAGAAAGAGGTTCACCAATCAGAAAGCAAACCCTAAGATCACTCTAATCACTCAACGAATCAGCAACTGATAAGACCATGCCGTGGGCCCATAAACCCTAATCCCTAAATTTCCCTTCTTTTTGGACCCCACCAAAGCTACAGATGACCACTCGAGTCGCGTAATCACAAGTCGTGAGTTTTGGGGACCAGCATTACAATAATTGTAGCCACAGTGTTCTTGTATATACATGCAATGCTTCCCTACCAACAGCTGTTGTGTTACACTTCTGACTCTTTTGGTATATGATTAACAAAAGATCTATAACATTGTTTCTTCTTCTTTTCTCCTTTTCGTTTTCCTCTCTTCTCTTTGGTCGTTTGGAAGATCAAACCCTCGAACATGATAGCCGGAAAGGAAACAGCCAATGCTGTTGGTGGCAAGACAGCAAGGGCTTGCGACAGCTGCGTACGAAAGCGGGCGAAATGGTATTGTGCTGCTGATGACGCTTTCCTTTGCCAAAGTTGTGATGCCTCAGTACACTCGGCTAATCAGTTGGCTGGTCGGCATGAGAGGGTCCTTCTCGAGACTGCTTCCTCTAAGCTCTTTGGGTCAGGCATAGCTTCGCCTGAACCAACCTGGCACCAAGGTCTCACCCGTCGTGCACGCACCCCCCGACTCCGGACTAAATCCTCTCTCAAACTAGATAGAAAGAGCGATGTAGTGAACTCTTCTGCTCCCTTAGTTCCGGAAATAGGCGTTTTAGACCCATCATCACTTGATGAAGAAGAAGAGGAAGAAGAACTATTATATCGTGTGCCTGTCTTTGATCCTTTTGAAACTGAATTATTTAATACTTCTGATGAAATAGGCAGGAGCTTGACTTTTGTAGTGGAAAACAAACTAGAAGAGACATGTGATTTGGATGACCTTCAAGGGTTTGATCTGCCAACTGATGATATGGAGCTACTGGAATTTGCTGCCGATGTTGAAAGCTTATTAGGGAAGGGTTATGATGATACATCGTGTAGGATTGAAGAATTGGGGTTAACTAATTATGATTTTAAGGATGAAGATAATACTAACATTATTATAGGAACTTGCTTCGACGAAAATAGGGTGAAAGTTGAAGATGATGAAAGAGAAGCAATTTTAGGTTTTGATTTGGATACAACTAGGGAAACACTAGATTGGGACTTCGGTCATGAATCCACGATGATGATAAAAGAGGAGGAGAAGAAAGTGGTGGTAGGCGTAAAAGAACATATGATGATGGTGTCAAATGATGAATGTAAAGAAGCAATGGTGAGAAAATCAAGCATAACTTTGAGGCTTAATTACGATGAAGTGATCAGTGCATGGGCTGATCAAGGATCTCCATGGACAAACGGAACCCGACCAGAACTCAATCTTGATGGTTGCTGGCCTGATTTCATGGTTCTTTCTTTTTCTATATCTCTCTTTGAATCTCTCTATTCCTTCGTTTATTAATTTGTCTTATAACATAGTATTCTAATCGAGAAGTATTATAATCTTTTAGGGTTTGCAATGGATGGGGAATAATACTCCTTTATGTGGAGGCTTAGGAGGAAGCGATGGAGGAAGAGAGGCAAGAGTGTCAAGGTATAAAGAGAAAAGAAGGACAAGATTATTTTCGAAGAAGATAAGATACGAAGTGAGGAAACTAAATGCTGAGAAAAGGCCAAGAATGAAAGGGAGGTTTGTGAAAAGGGAAGGAAACCTTTGAAGAACCTCCTGCAACTTCTACTTTCCCAACTTACCTAAGCAAGAACTAGTACCAAATCGATGAACAAATAAGCTTTGTTCAATAGTTTGTTCCTTAAAACTCCCATCCTCCCATATTTGCTTGTTTTCATGGCAAGATTGGGGATGGTTAACCAATCCTTTTATTTTTCTAGTCTTTTCGGGTAAATATTGTCATTTCTTTCTACTTTGATATGATATACGATGTATAGTATATGATAATAATGAAGCAGAGTTGCAACTTGTGTTGAACTGCAAATGAATGCTTGCATAACTCATTGTAAATTAAGGTCTCGTTTGGATTTCAAACTCGTATTTTGTTAGCATCTCTCCCCATGTGGTGTTTCTGTTTATAAATGTATTCATCTATGAATACACCACCTCCCTCCACCACCAACCACCACCACCACCACCACCAACCACTACCGCCACCACCACCACCACATCCACAACCAACCACCACCAATAACCGCCACCTCCGCCACCACC